ACCCCAGCAAGAGCATTGCATCTTTGCTGAATCCAGATGGGTTAGCAGAGGGCAAAGTGGAGGATTCCTTTGAGGAAGTGTTCTCAGTTGAGCAGTTCAGTCCCTCTCCCCAAAGACTAGACCTGACCTGGCAGATTAGCAGGATCCTCTTCTTTTGGCCTTTTTTGGGATGATGGGAGTGAGGGGGGTAAATCTCAAAAGCTATCAACAAGCTCCTGTTCTGCAGGCATCAGGAAAATTAAGTGTAAGATGGAAAAAGCAAACAGCCTATTTACAAGTGGAAACACGTTGGTTCTGATCACTCCTAACTTGCTGGGTGATCATACATACATCATCATGAAGGTGTGACATCAGAATCATGAGCACCATGGCTGCAGTTGTCTGATCCAAGGCTAGTTGGCTTGGTAGCTGTTGGCAGCAGTTTCCCTGGGTCAGAGGCCTCCTTGCTATCTATCGCTGCTGTCTTCTTCTTGTCATCCTTAAACATTCAGTCACGTTCCCAGGTCTGTGGGGAGCAATGGCCAGACCAGTTTCATTGTCTCTGGCAACAGAAACAAGGATTGAAATGGTAATAGTTAAGAGTGCAGACACATCTGGGGTGCAATGTCTCCATCATCCTGGTGGCTAGCCAGTGCTGGGAGGCCCTGCCCTGGGGTACCAGTTGTAACAATAAAGGGATGGCCCTCCTGGCTTCGGCGTCCTGCAGGTAGAGCAGCCTCATTCCTTCACAAGATGGAAGGCAGGTGAGGATTGTCAGGATGAGATGGGACCAGGTAGCCGAGGACGGTGAGGCGTGTCTGAGCCACGTGAGGGGCAGCTGAACAGAAGGATGTCTGTGTGCATCAACCGAGCAGATTGTGTGCCCACTCGTTTATGAACTACCTCTCCCCAAAGAACGTGAGGCATTGTCACCTTGTTACAGCTATGTGAAGCAGAGCTCTCACAACTCTTCCTATCTACGGGCAGGAAAACCAGGATGGAGAAGGGCGAGTTGCTGATTAGGATAGGAGTGATCAGAACCAGTGAAGTTTCCATTTTTCATCCATTGCTGCCCTGTGTGTGAACAAATGTGACTCCATATTTATTATACAGCAAGGACTGCTGTGCGTGGGTGTGTTCCTCAGACCATCTCTACTCTTTGGTTAGGACACTAGGTTCTTCCCAGCATATGAGTGAGAATATCAGTGGCATTTTGGGCTCCTCTACTGCACAAGGGCCAGTCCCCAAGTCTACTCTGATTGTCACGGGCACCCACACAGATCAGGACACCCTTTGAATTTTTGTTTGACATGAACTATTTAGGTGTTCCAAAACCTTGGGATCTCAATGTGCAAACTCCTTGGACTCCAGACCCCTGTCTGGTTGGCACTCCCAGAAGCATGTGGTTTCATCAGGAAATCCTTGCAGCAGGGGTTGAGATGGTTCCTTCAGGAGGTGGGAAGCCTCCGTAGCATCGAAGGCCAGCCTGCATCTCGCGGTGTGTGTCCACTTCTCCCCTCACTTTCCCCTCACCCATCCCTTTAAAGTGATTGGCTGTGAGGAGCACAGAGGGTGGCAATTCCATCTGTTATGGGCTCAGAAGACATAGCCGCCATGTTGATTTCACATTAAACTGTGTAAAATGTGGAAAAGACTCAGCATGTTGGTCAAACAATAAACTGTCCTAATTCTCAAAACAACGCTTCTGGTCTGTGTTTAAGTGGTGCAGTCATAAATGGGGGGTTCAAAAGCAAGAGTTCCTCAAGTGTGTGCTCCACAAAGTCCCTCTTCTCATGCCGGGGTGGTATGTCCACTACCTAAAGCCCTTTGCCGCTTTGCTGCTTCCTTCTACTGGTGGAGCTGGGCTGTCCACCAACTCTGAAGGGGGAAAGGTGGGACACACTCATGAGAGTAAATCCACACACATTCCCCTAATCTCCATTCTGCTGAAAGGCTGATGGGAAGGGAGCCTCCAGGCAGAACTGAGAGTCAGGGGTACCATATCTTCCTTCATCCCCACTCTCTGCTTGCCATGGCTCGGGGATTAGGAAGCGGGGAGAGGGTACAGGGACTGGATCTCTTATGCTTCTGGTGATTTTCAGAAAGCCATTTAAAGGCAAGAACTTAAGGTGAACTATAATGACCTTTGACAACATCTAGCTGCCATATTCCATCCCCAGCCCCACCCCACACCAGTTAGGAACATCCCTGAGCGGCCCCTCCAGGTCTCAGTTATCTCCAGACTTAAAGATGCTCAGAAAGCCAGCACCGTTCTGGGACTAATCCAAAGAGGAACAAAAGCCAAGATTAGGTAAATTGCACTAGCCTGGGAATCTCACTCTTCTTCAAGTCCAACTTCACTAATTACCTCCCTTTTAAAGCTTCTAAAGTTTCCAGAACACCCTCCAATCTGCTGCCACCTCAAGGAAGCCATCTTTAATTAGAAGAGACAAGAAGTAGATGTCCCTGCCTACTAAGCCTTACTTTTACTTTTTCTGGCTGCCAGTTGTAAAATGTGAGGCAGAGCAGGTACAGGGGATGTGGCAAGACAGAGGGCTGAGGGCCAGTGAGTAGGTGCTTGCATGGGCCAGACTAAGGCTTGAGCGAAGTGGTTCTGAGACAAGCAGTCATTCCCCAATAATTTATGGTGACACGACTTCACACTACAGGGAAGCGAGTAGTCTCACTGGAGACAGCATTCACACTCAGCTGTCCAGCAGTTCCTGCCTTTGGCAGACTAAGGAAGTGCTGTTGGGATTCCTCAGCCATGGATGGGACGATGGCAGAGCTGTGGTGAAGGTCCTGCCTAGAGTGCACAGTGTGGCATTCAGCGACACTGCTCAGCATGGTTCTCCTCATCAGTGTACGAGAGTGGAGGTCACTGTGTGCTAAACTCAAATTTAAAAAAAAAAAAAAAACTTTTTGAAACAAAATTATTTCAATACTTGAAACACAGGCTGGGCACAGTGGCTTATGCCTGTAATCCCAGCACTTTGGGAGGCCAAAGTGGACAGATCATGGAGGCCAGGAGTTTGAGAACAGACTGGCCAACATGGTGAAACCCCATTGCTACTAAAAATACTAAAAATTATCCAGGCATGGTGCCACACGCCTGTAATTCCAGCTACTGGGGGAGGCTGAGGCAGAAGAATCATTTGAACCTGGGAGGCAGAGGTTGCAGTGAGCTGAGACAGCACCACTGCACTCCAGCCTGCGCGACAGAGTGAGACTGTCTCAACAGAACAAAACAAAAAAAACCTTGAAACAATATTCAAGTCAACAGAACATGGCCATGTGCCTCACACATAAGCATCATGGGAACACTGGCATTTCAGAGGCCAATGGAAAAGTGGCAGTCCTGTTGGGGCTGCATGGCTGGCAGTCGACCACATGCCCACACAGCACTTAGGAGTCAAGTGCAGCCGTGATGGAGCTCACGCTACTGAGAGAGTAGGGAAACCACACTGAAAGGGCACATTTCTTAACCTCAGAACTGGGCCACCAGCCTCTAAAGCAGGAATTGTGTTTTTTTTTAGCATTTCCATGGTCTGCTGCAAGGCGTAGCATTTACCCAATGGATGAATGTGTACAAGGCTCTTGTGAGCTTTATGGTTGAAGGTAAGTGGGATTGTTTTCCTGTGCATTTAAATGAAGGTAGGTGTGGTGATCACCTTTCCTTAAATGTGTGAAAGGATGAGATAAAGAGATAGGCATCTTAGTTGCCACTGATGGCCTTCAGGTGAGGACAGGCATGAGCCCACTGAAGCTTTGACAATTGTGCTGAACCCAAAACTTCAAGAAAAAGCAGAGACTGGCTGAAATGATATAAGTCAACAGAGCATGGTCAGTGCTTCATACAAGGCAGGACCACAGGGGAACACTAACAGCCCAGGAGGCGCTGAGACAGAGGCAGTGGGAAGAAGTGACAGACCCCAGGGACTCCCCACCACCAGCAGCTGCTGTTGATTAGGAACCCCCAGTGGACTGTCAGGCACCTGGTAGTGGAGAGGTTACCAAGGCCCGGGCTGGAGAGGAGCCAAAGGAAGAAACAGTGCAGTGCCTAGACCCCTCTGGGTCTGTCCACGTCCATACCCACTGGGAGATGCCATTCCAGAAGTGGACATATTCACCAACAGAGTGCCCGGGGCTCACTCATCACAGCTGCTCCCTCCACAACAGCATCTCACCTCAGCTTTAGCAGGGAACAGGGTCATTTGCATTAGGCAGCTGCTGTCCTAGGAGGTCTCGGTGCCCATACACTTCCATGTTCCTAAGGTGTTTCAAGCTCAAATGTCTCATCTGTGTCATACACTGGTGCCTAGTCGGCCTGTCTCCATGACCTGATATCCATCGTTCTACCCATCCTTCTACTCTGGCCACACCTGCCCATCTCTCAAAATGGGCCTACTTTAGTCGAATGCCTTCAGGGCCACAAGAGGGCACCACCTGAGTGGAGAGAGCACATTTGACCTCCCATCAAAAGCCTTCCCAGTTCCCAAGGACTAGTCACTATGACCTCATCCTGGCCCAGAGCCACAAGAACGGAATGCCTGCAGGAGCAAGAAGCAAGGTCAGAGTTCCCATGCCTGCTGACTTGACCCTGTTAGAAAAACTCGCAGGGTGTGTACCCCAAGAGACTTTAAAAACAACATTAAAGGCACATGTGACACTCCAGGCCAGATCATCTCTTGGGGTGCGCAGGAGCCCCATGACTGATAAAAGACTGGTTAAACATGCAGATTGCTGAGGCAATACCAGACTTGCTATTGAATCAAGTTGTCTAAGAGTAGGTCCTCAGATCAGTTTAGCAAGCATTGCAGGTAATTCTGACGCCCACTAACATTTGAGACCACTAGTGGTTCTAGATAGAATTTTCCTTTTCTGGAAGACCTTCTTTAGGTCTTGAATCAAATTCAAACTTGCACCCCTTCTTCAGTCACTTTTTCTGGTGTGCTGCTTCCTCCAATGAAGTAAAATATTAACCAGAAAAAAAGAAGAGGCTGAGAGGGACACATGCCTGTTAACAGAAACATCAAGCCACTGACTTTTATTCCCATGAGCTCCTACTATGATTACGTAAGCATGTCACATTCATTGCTCTTACCTACTTCCTAAGTTACTACTTGCCTAATAAGGAAAAGGGCAAGAAATAGAGTCCAAAAGACACGAAGAACACTAGCAGCAGCTTTCAAGGAAGGACTCGGTCAGGGTCTCACGACTTCTCCATTTCGTGTTTCATTTACATTGTCTTCGTGCTCCAGCGGCAAGGCTGACACATGCTTTGGGGTGGGAGCCTGGAGTATTTCTGCCAGATGGTCTGAGGTGACGTGTACTCCCAGAGCCCAAGTGACCCACCAGAAGGGACGTGTGAGACCGCAGGCAGAGGCTGTACATGGACGATCACACTCCCTCAGATGGCATCAGCTCCATGTTTTATCCTTTGACTCCCCCTGATCCTCAAGGCCAAGTGGGGTGCCCCTGCTGAATGCTCCAGAGAACTGCGGGCCTCTCCTACCATGGCTCTTAATGCACTGTTCCATAACTGGCTTCTCACCTGGACACAGCCACCCTGCTCTCCTTGTAAGCTTTAGTTGGGCTTGTCCTTGAGTGTGTGAGGTAGGAATAGGAGAGTGTGTTCCTGTGTATGTTGCAGTCTTTAGGCTCAGGAAACAAGGAGTTAGGCCAGAATCCTGACATGTGCACTCATTTGTACTCACCATTCCATTCTATTTAATTGCTTTGAGCCAGACAGCCTGTTTTCTTTACCACAAAATATACTAATCATTTCTAAAAGCCTTATGTTTAAGAAGACAGCAAAGAACATCACTTCAAAAGGCAACTTTTTTTTTTTTTGGCATCAATGAATATGCACTTTAGACATTTACAGAGAACTTTTTTCACTTTGTATTTGCTCCACAGCATTCTAGCCAAGAGTACAAAATAGGAGATCTTCGAGCAGCACATGAAGATGGCCCAGGAGCCTTCGGCCATCCAGAGAAGCAGAGCAGCACCTAAATCTCCATACACTTCCCAGTATAACCACTAAGAACACACTAGACCCTTCGCATTAGGGGATTTATCACGTCCAGTTCTGTTATCTGGGAATGACTCCAAGGGTTTGTGACAAGCTTTTGAAACATAAGTGCTAAGACTGGAGTGTGGACGAGTCACTGAGCTAATGAAGAACAGACCCACTGTCTGCTTGCCTCTGCTATTTTGTACTTGTCTTCACATGCGGGGAAACTTCGTTAACTGTGCCCACAAATCAGAGAAATTCGCAAAGGACTAGACAATGTTTTGCCTGTGAACGTCAGAGGCAACCGGAAATCAACTAGCTTCATACACAGGCAGGTTTGTTTCCAGGAGAAAGGGACCAAAGCATAGAAGGAGAAGATAAGAAAACTTTTCAGGTGATGGCCATATCTCATCATATCCTCTCTGTGTGGAGTCTGCTTGTCACAAAAACCTTGATCCTACATCAAGTTAAACCTTAACAAAGGGAAGATACAGGCATCAAATAAAAGGTACTTACTTGTTTGAAAGGCAGCCATAAGGGAGAAATGAACTTAAAAAAAAAAAAAATTCCAAGCTGGTTTCAACAGTACTTTGTTTCAACAAGGAAATGTTTCTAACCACATTTTGTACCCCTTCCTTATCAACTCCAGACTACCACAGCCCATTTTCCAAAACTGTGTATCACACACATCCGGGTCTTGTGCTTTGGAGCTGCCTCTCAGGCAATTTTAGCCAGCCATTTCTCCAAGTCCTGGATGTCAGCAGAGCCCGCATCCCCTCTTCCACCCTTGGCACTGCACTCCAGGAACTCCACTTTGAGGGCCAACTGTGAGAATTCAAACTCTTTGCCTTTCTTCCCCAGCTGAGCAGGGGCAGTGCTGGAACTGTCCAGTGTGCTAGGGGCAGCAGAACGGGTAACTCGTAAGGTGTTGCTGTGGGGCAAAAGGAAACAAGTCAGGAGGCAATATTTTTATACAGCAATTAAATCATATTAGTTTCTAAACATTTCAGCACTCATTTAAAACTTAACCATAGAATTGCCAATTATGCTATGAAGATTGCTGAATAATCCTTTGCATTTATAAGTCCCTCTCTTGGACAGAGAGGTGAGGTAGGTTAGTGGGGGAGGGGGTTGGACGTCACAGGGCTAGAGGGCAGGTCAGCAGTGGACCAGGTCACACCAACTTTCTTCCAGCCCAGGGCCCCCTTCTAAGAGGATCTCCTGAATGATGCTATTTAAAAATATATTTTTAAAATACATGCTGTAAGTGTTATAAAAACATAAGTTTCTGAAAGTTAAGTGTGGGTAGATAGGGTATGTATTTTTATCTTGAGTCTATTTGGATATGGAGTTTAGAAATCCACAAACTCCAGATGCTCATATCTAACTAGGGCACAATTACTATTACCCAACCTCTTTAACCACCAAAACTTCCCGATGTAAGTCCCCTTACTGCCACCTGCTGGTCCTAATAAAGGGTGCATAAGCAACACTCATTTGCCGGCCTCCCTTTCCTTTTCTGCTATCCAGAAGCAGGAATGCATGCTGCCAATCTTCTTTCTTACAAAATAAAGCATTTCTTGTTCTGTGAAGTTGCTTCAAAATTAGTGAAGAATCCACAGACAAAACTAAGCAATACCTTGTTTAGGAACGAACACACACACACACAAACTATAAAAGTATTTTTAAAAAACAATACAAAACTGGATATTGCTAACCTCCTGAGGGAAAAGCTTTTGGGGAGAAAAATGGGCCTTCTAGGCATGGTGGTGAGTACATAGGTACTCATTTTAATATTTTTTAAGCTTAATGCATGTGACTTTTATATGTAAGATATTTTACAATAAAAAATTTTTAAGGAAAAAAAGTATGTATTCAGCTTTTGCCACAAGGCCATGTAAATATAGTATACCTTGCTATTCAGAGACTATGAAATGCCTCAAAGCTAACAGGACCTAATTCTCATAAATCTGAAATGAAACTAAAATTAGTCAGATTCCTAGTTTTAACTGATGTTAACCTTTACAACTTTTCAACATTTCGTTTCACTGCCTTTTAATAAAGCATTGCCTTCTGTATTGTTTTTCTCTAAGTCTACAGAGTGAAAAGCAAACAGCCTATGGAAAATGTGTTTTAACCAGGGGAAGACTTGGACTGTACTGTTAAAAATAACCAAAGACTGATTCACAAATAACATTATGACAGCTTTGGCTTCCCCAAAACAATTCCCAACAATTGCAAGAGAATTTTTAGAAAAAACCCAACCATCAAATTGTTCCAATGTCCCTATTAACCTAACGGCAAGCAATAGATACAATCCAAGAGAGTGAGCATCAAGAGCCCAGGACAGGGTGATAAACTCACAGCTCCAGAGGGAAAGGAACCACTGAAAATGGCATAGGCAGGGCCGGCAGAATTGTTCTGCAAAGAGCCAGAAATTTAAATATTTTGTCACATATTTTTCCTGTTTTCTACCTGCCCTTTAAAAATGTCGATTTACTCTTGGCTTGCAAGCCCAGGCAGGAGTTTGCCAATGCCCGAAGCTGACTAGATTCTACTAGACTCTAAGCTCCTGAGTACAGGAACACATTTCCTCCTACAGCTGCTCCTGACTGCAGGCTTGGCATCTACTAGATGCACTACAGGTGCTTCTTAAATGAATAAGGGAGTCAGTAAATCATAGTGAGGAGCCAAGATTCTAAAAGTTGAATTTGTACAGTTTTTCCTCATCAGATCCTTTTCAAGGCCTTACACAAAAGCAGTAAGAAAACATAACTTGCTTTACTATAAATGTTGATCATTTCTTCTAAGCCAGCTTTTGGCTAGCTCTTACAAATTGGCATAACACAGAAGACATGCTAGATGCCTTAAAATTCAAAAGCTCAATTTATAAACTTTGAAACACTCAAAGCAGGATATATAATATTGCCAAGTACTTTAATAATCTAAGAAGCTACAATATCAAAGTATCAAAGACTTGCAGTCTTCCTCAGTGTTCTGTTCTTATTCTGTCAATAATAATTTCCAAAGTGGCTTTTAAATGTTTTAATTTCTTTTTTCCTGATTCTCAGTTTTTATTTTTTATTATTTACATGCATCCTTAAATACCACTTCACATGCATTATTGAGTGGTGAACAAACACTTCCACTCACTGAAATAACACCGTTCTCAAGTTGGCATGTAAAATTTTTTAGCTTCTAAAACCTTTCAACTATAAATGATTTAGTAACAATGGTAAAATAAATTGAGTTTACGGTTTCAAAAAAATCTTTCCATGAAATTGTAAAATATAAGCATCCTAGTAAGTTTCTGTGATTCCATTATTTTGTAAATTATTTAACAAATATGTAACACACTAATCTTCAGTCTATAATTGTGATAATCACATACAACCAAACAAAAGAAACATGCATATGCTGCTTACAGTCTAAGTGTTTAAAGATGTATAATTAACCAACAGGCCTCTTTCACACTTACAGTTCTTTCTCCAGCTGCTGCTGAATTAACTTTGCTGATTTTGCCATTGCAATATCTGTAAAGAAATAAAGATACTGTTGTAGTTTAAATGAGAATGGGTTTTTTCCCAAGACTTCTTACACAGAAGGAAAATTCCTACTTAAACCAGTAAGTTTCTTCTCTTTTTTTTAAAAAAATAGCTTTTTTACTAGTTCCTTCTCTATCAAAGTAAGCTTTATACTTGCACTAGGGGCTTTCCCAAGATAATGCTTATAAACATATTATGCTGGTGACCCTAACACTGACTTTAGCTTTCACCAAAGTTCTTCGCACCTTACAGACCTTTCAATTCAATGCACATATAAGTTTAGTCAGTTTAACAGAAAGAAAACCTACCAGTGCTGTGATTGTGAGAAGTGCCTTCACACACCAAAAGACAATGCCCTACCTGTCATTTAAAAGTAAACTTAGCATGTTTCCAGTTGATACTAAGATGATACGTTTAAAGCATTAAGTGTACTAAAGGTAAGAAACAAGCCCTGGTTTGGCACAAAGCTCATGGCAAGTAAACAATAACTCCCTTCCTTATACTCAATCAGAGAAATAAAGAGGTCAGGTAATGATGCTAATAACTGCATTCCTGACAAGGCATTATCAATATTAACTGGTCACTTCTGAGAAATGCCTTGGACTCGTCATAGAATCAGAATTTCAGATCTGAAAGAGACCTGAAGAGATCCACCAGTCTATCTTATTGTACAGGTAACCGAACTGAAGCCCAGTTTTATTGGGGATTACTGGAAAGTTTTCAATGGTTATCAGGTTAAAAGAAAACAACTTCAGCAAACTCCCTTTGATAAAATGTGCTGCTGACCTGTGGTTTGGCTGGGTGTGGTGGCTCATGCCTGTAATCCCAGCACTTTGGGAGGCCGAGGCGGGCAGATCACAAGGTCAGGAGATCGAGACCATCCTGGCTAACACGGTGAAACCCCGTCTCTACTAAAAATACAAAAAATTAGCCAGGCGCACTTGTGGGCGCCTGTAGTCCCAGCTACTCGGGAGGCTGAGGCAGGAGAATGGCGTGAACCCAGGAGGCAGAGTTTGCAGTGAGCCAAGACTACGCCACTGCACTCCAACCTGGGTGACAGAGCGAGACTCCGTCTCAAAAAAAAAAAAAAGGAAAAAAATGTGCTGTACAGTAAACTTGTTAAACTTGTTTGAAAGCAGAGACTCCATCCTTCAAAACTGTGCATCTGATATCACAAATTGTCAATCTGATGAACTTAACTTGGTAAGGTAAAATAATTTATAATTGGAAAAAACACCGTATCAAAGAAAAATCAGTTAGCAGTCTCTTGGTTGTCATTCCTTGGTCTTCTGGTTAGAAGACTGGTGAAAAGGCAGGAGTAGAAATAAATTTTAAGATTAAAAATCCTTCAATTTATAGTTCTTTACAGCAATTATCTCTCATCCTCAATAATAACAACTGTAAATAATGGAAATAATTCTTAGTAGCAGCAATCCCCAAAAAACTCAATTATTATTGCAAGAAAACATGACGGCACCTTGCTTATTGCAGGCTATTAAGAATGATGGTGTGTTCTTCAGACCCATGCTGTCAATGAGGACTTGATACAAAAACTCAGCCACATCTTTCACCTCTCGCTGGAATGCTGCACTATCCACAACAAACACAATAGCCCTGGTGGGAGAAAAAAAGAAAAACTGGCACGTGAACATGTAACAGGACATCATTATCTTGAAAAACTATCCTGAATTTCTTCAAAGTCAGTCTTGGTGATGAACACTCAGCAGACGCACATGCAGGTCTGTGCCTATGTTATCATACAACACAAATCCTCATTTAACAAGGAACTATTGAGTGCCACTGTGTATCAATGACTGAAGCTGAAAAAAGACAGTAAGAAATGACTTGTCCTCCAAGACAAATCCTCATATAGAGAACCACATGAAAAACGCCAAGACAGAATTATGCACACGTGTAACAGGAATAAAGAGAAAGATCATTTAAATGAGACCAGGTCAAAGGTAACTTTAAGGAGAATGTAACAGTTGAGTTGAATCTCAGACCAAAAATTGGGACACAGACCGTCTGGAAAGTACAGGTTGAGTATCCCCAATCCAAAAATCCAAAATCTAAAATCTAAAACATTTCTGGTTCCAAGCATTATGGATAAGGGATACTCAGCCTACAGTATGTTCAAGGCACAAATATATGAAACAAATTCTCTGGGGAAGTCAAGGTAAGCTGGTACACAGGGAGATGGGGAAATGAAGGAGAACCAAGTCAGACAGCGAAGCGTGACACAATGACCTGTAGAGTTCATGCTTTTCTGTCTTATGAAGAAGAATACTGGTGTGTAAATGGAAGACAAAGCAATCTTAGAGGGCACTTGAACTAGAAGCACAGTGACCAGGTAGGGCGTCACTTAATGCAGCCATAGTGGGACTCCTCATGTGACAGAAAAAAAGAAATATCAAAGCTAAAGTGCAGCAGCCCAGGGAAACAGTAGACAACAGGTCTTAGGGGGCCAGGTGTGGTGCCTCACGCCTGTAATCTCAGCACCTGGGGGGCTGAGACGGGCGGATCACTTGAGGTCAGGAGTTCGAGACGAGTCTGGGCAACATGAAGAAACCCAATCTCTACTAAAAATACAACAATTAGCCAGATATGGTGGTGGGAGCCTGTAATCCCAGCTACTTGAGAGGCTGAGACAGATGAGTTGCTTGAACCCAGAAGGCAAAGGTTGCAGTGAACGGAGATCATGCTACTACACTCCAGCCTGGGCGACAAAGCGAGACTCCATCTCAAAAAAAAAACAACAAAATACCAGCCTTATGGGCAAGGGTTTGAATGCCCAGGTGGAGATAAGAGACATGCAATGGCCAACACGCAGCTAGGGAGCTAGAACCGAACGCCCTGTACAAAGCCTACAACTTAAAATAGTCTCAGGGAGGTCGGGGCTTGCAAAAAAAGTCCCCTTAGAAACACCAGGCCTCCACTGCCTCCCACAGATACAGGGTATGAATTTATACTCTCCAGGTATAAGACCCGCAAGGGGAAAGGTTTACGTAAAAATTGGGCCAGACTTATTGAAGCCCTATGGCCCCAACAGAAGGAATTATGAACTGCTTATGGAGCAAGGCTTTCATATCCTACAGGATTAAAGAAGACCAACCACAATATCAATGATGTGTCACTCTTGAAGAAAGGTTCTGGATCAAAAATTACAAGGCACAGAAGAAAATAATTATGAGGGAGAATAACTAGTACCCCAAAGAGAATAATCAGCACCCCAAAACTAGGATAATAAAGCTATCTATCTATAAAGTAAATGTTTAAAATTATTTAAGAAAATACTACAAACTACAATAAAGAATAGAATAATATAAAAAGAAACAGGCTGGTTTGAAAAGGTAAGTATTTTAGACAAATATAGTAAATGATATTAATAAATCAATGGAAAAGTTAAGCAGAGATTATGCTCAGCTGAAAAGAATGTAATAAACTAGAAAACAAATCTGAGGGAATCTTACAATATGCGAGGCAGAAAGATTTATAAGATACGATAGAGAGGAAATAAGAAAGGCAGAATAATAAGGTTCAATAACATTCATAAGATTTCCAGAGCGTGAGAAATGATAATGGGGGAAACAGCACTACCTGGAGAAACAATGGTGAGAATTTTCCAAAACTGAGGAGAATCTTTGGTCTGGAACAGCACACCCGAATTCCAAGAATGATAAAGCTAAATCCATCCTTAAACAGAAGAAAATCTATCCCTGGATAGGTCAAATCAGGCAGACTTACTACACTGAGATAACAATTAGACTGACTGGCAACAGCATTCTCATCGGCAACAGATAAATGATGTCAGGAGTGATGCGGTGGCCACCCAGGACTCTGCACTCAGCTAAAACAGTCATTCCAAAATGCGGGCCAAACAGAGTTACAAATGAACAAAGGCTGAAAACATTTGACTACTCATCACCCTCTCTGGAAACACTTCTAAAAGATATTCTCAGTGAGAGAAAACTGAATCTAAAGGGAAGAAGTAAAATTCAAGAAGAAATGGGGAGCAAAAGACCATAAGCATCCTGGTAATTCTTATCACTGAATGTAAGAGAAAAAAAGTATGGTTGGGGGTTAAAAAGGAGCATAAATAAAAGGAAGATGTGAGGAAGATCAAAGTTCAAGTGTTTAAGGTTCAGGAAAAGGAAACTGCTATTATTGGTTTCAGACAATCAAATACGCAATGTTTAAAAAGTGGGGGAGGGAACCACGATAAGAACAGCAATAGCATATGTTCAAATCAGGAGAAGGAAAATAGCCACTAGGGAAACTTGGCAAAGCAAGAAAGTAGAATTAAAAAAAAGTCATATACCAATAATAGTAAGTGTCTTTTCAACTTGCATGTATCATTATTATAATGTATTTGAACTAAGTTTTATCTTCATATTTTGCATGTTTTATTTACCCAAAATACATGAACCACAGAGTAGTTATACTGCAAATCATAAAATATTTAGAACTGGCAATAGAAAAAGAAAAATAATTCATTGGAAATAAAAACCCAATTATGGCAAAATTTACCAGTTCTAGATTTGTCTCAATTGTCCAAGGAATAAAAAATCACATTCTTATCTGTGACAAATTGTTCATCACCACCATCTTGTGGGCAAAGATGCAATAATGAAATTTCAGTCTAGACATCTTCAATAAAAGGCAAAGAATCAACTACTTCATTCCATCAAAACTAAAATGCTGTCAATTAAAAGACATTATTTTAGGGACCGCTAAGAGAAAATATTGCCAATTAAACTATGACACCATCAACTGTAAGATATATTCCAAATTCAGAGATAATAAAATGTGTCTTCAAATCAGTGAAATGTGGCATACTGATTTTCCTCTTCAGTTCTTATTAATGTTAGAGACCAAAAAAAAAGCATCTGAAACTGCAGCATAAGACTTTTAGGGAAGAACTTAAGAATCAATAACACCAGGGCACACACTAAAAGAAATACAGAAATATTGTTCTGTACTTCTTGAAACATCAATTTTAGGTAATTTGAGAATATATATGGGCTGAGCACAGTGGTTTACACCTGTAATCCCAACACTTTGGGAGGCCGAGGCCAGTGGAGTTCGAGACCAGCCTGGCCAACATGGTGAAACCCCGTCTCTACTAAAAATATAAAAAATTAGTAGGGTGTGGTGGCGTGTGCCTGTAATCCCAGCTACTCAGTAGGCTGAGGCAGGAGAATCGCTTGAACCCAGGAGGTGGAAGTTGCAGTGAGCCAAGATCACACCACTGCACTTCAGCCAAGGTGACAGAATGAGACTCCGTCTCAAAAAAAACCAAAAACTATATATATAAATGATGTTGGCATTTAACAACTTCTAGGATTCAGCCCAGCTTTAAAATTTTTTCAGATTTTAATAGTCATATACATTATTAAATTCATCTTCAGAATAAATGCAAACATTTAGTAACAATGACAAGAAGGGTTAACATTTCCTAAACACTAAAAAACACTTTTTAAGCATTTTAATCCCATACAATCCTCATAATCCAGGTGAAGGTGGACTTGCAAGCCAGAACTAGCTGACCCCAAGGTCACCTCAAGGCCTACCAAAGGATACCAAGCTGCCTCCCAAACACCGCCAGAGCAAATCACACGAGTGCCTTTGATATACAGATACAGACCTAGACAAGCCCACTTCACTTCTTTCCTTCTTACCTGGCTGAAGACTTAAACCGCTCTAAGAACTGAAGCCTCAAACTCTCATGGCCGGGGAGGTCAATCAAGGTCAGACTATTGCCCTGGGGATGGCAGCAATAACATTAATGTTTCAGTAGAGTTCCACGTTCACAGTATAAACCTTTAGTATCATATTTTGGCTACCAAACTGGTACCTAATCAATTAATCAAACAAATGTTCACAGAGCATCTTCTACTCATAAAACACTAGTCAACGTTCTGGGGATGTAACAGTGGCCAAAGACACAGTTCCTGGTCTAGCAAAATTTATGAGAAAGGTGAACATAAAGTAAAATTACACATAAATATAAAATGGGAACGTTGATAAATGTTCTGAGGGTACAGGAGAAGCCTGTCTGGGGGTGTCAGGGAAGCATGATCTACCTGAGTCAGCTTGGGAGATAAACCAGTGTGAGTACAGCAAAGTAGGAGTACAGTATGAGTATAAGCAAAAATGTGAAAACAGTAACAAATACTCATAAACTAATAATGTAATATAAGAACTTACAATTTTTCATAGAGCTTATTACTCTTACTGGGATCTCCAATCTTTATAACAAAGTACACTTTAATCATTTCCACGCTTAATCTAATTTTTAAAATATTTATCTTCCAGACACATCATTTATTTGTTCCAACTCGATCAGTATTTGTGTCAATTCTGGAGCCCCTATTGAGCAAATCTATGATGCACCCTAGTAAGTTCTATTCACCATTCCAGGCCGCCATTCTTGAATACAAGGTCAAGGCCTGGAATGGGAATAGAGCTTATATTCAGTGCAATTGTGGCTGTGCTCAACAATAAGACTCTCAGATGTGACCTGGTACATGCAGCAGACCCACTGATCATTTCTTAGATGTTCTATGTTATCCACAGCCAACCATACCCACAGTTCAGAAGCAGACAATCTGTACAGGTTTAACACAATTCCAGCTGGGTTTATGATGACCTTACCTTTCACATAGCCTGTGCATTTCTTTATAGACAAATATAAATGTTCTTTATTAGTCCCTCTCCTTTTTTTAAAGTACTGTTAAGAGTCTGGAGACCCCAGGTTGGGACTTACTGCTCCATTTCAAAAGCAGCACTACACCACATACCCTAAGCAATTCGGAAGATATGTTACTAGGTACATTATTGTCTAAAGAGATGAGATCGAAAACATAAGGGGGTAGGAGGAAGAGTGAAGAAGGAAGGGGAAAATGCTCTAAATATTCAGTAGAAATAGAGATAGAATAGAAATATAGAATAACAGAAGCCACATATGTAATTCTAAATATTCCAGTAACCATAATAAAAAAGTAAAAAGAGATTGGTAAAATTAATTTTAATAGTTATTTAATCTAATATATCCAAAATATTATCTTTTAACATGTAATGAAAAAAAGAAAGTATTAATGATACTTTACATTCTTTTTTTCCATACTAAGTCTTCAAGATCTGGTGTGTACTTCACATTTATAGCATGCCTCAATTTGGACTAGTCCTAGTTTAGATGCTCAACATGTGGCCAGTGGCTACATATTAGAAGGTAGAGATCTAAAGTGTATCCTGGAATATCCTACGTTAAAAATCTAGTGCAGGTACCAGATGACCTTCCAAACCTGGAATTTCAAAATCTGAATCCTTGGGAGTTTAAAAAGGTCTGGGCCACAAAGAGTGTCATCATTGAAAAAAATATATATCTCTCTCTAAGATATTTACAAATATGTCCCTTTATCTTTCTTTACAATCTTTAATTCTGGAGGCCTGAGAAAGGGGAAAGAAGACAAAGAAAAGAAGAAAAGGTCTCAAATCACAATTCTAATTCATCCATCTATCCATCCACCCACACCCTCCAACCAGCCCTCACTCCACTCACTCACCAAAACTTATTACATGGCTGGGCGCAGTGGCTCACGCCTGTAATCCCAGCACTTTGGGAGGCCGAGGTGGGAGGATCACTTGAGGTCAGGAATTCAAGACCAGCCTGGCCAACATGGTGAAACCCCATCTCTACTAAGAATACAAAAATTAGCTAGGCATGATGGTGGGCGCCTATAATCCCAGCTACTCAGGAGGCTGAAGCAGGAGAATCGCTTCAACTCCGAAGGCAGAGGTTGCAGTAAGCTAAGATCACGCCACTGCACTCCAGCCTGGGCAACACAGTAAGACTGTTTCTCAAAAACAAGCAAATAAACAAACAAACTTATTACGCATTACAATTCGTTTGGTCTCGCTCTATCGCCCAGGCTGGAGTGCAGTGGCACAATCTTGGTTCACTGCAACCTTCACCTCCCGGGTTCAAGTGATTCTCATGCCTCTGCCTCCCGAGTAGCTGGGATTACAGGCGCCCGCCACCATACCAGGCTGATTTTTGCATTTTTAGTAGACACGGGATTTAATCATGTTGGCCAGGCTGGTCTTGAACTCCTGACCTCAAGTGATCTGCCTGCCTCGGCCTCCCAAAGTGCTGGGATTACAGGCATGAGCCACCAAGCCAGGACCCGTGATTCCTTATATTTGAAATATACTCCTATATACTCTGCAAGATATCCATTGCAGCACTGCTTGTAAAAACAAAGGTTATGATAACAAAACTAAATGTCTATTAACACGGTCCTGATCAAGTAAGAATTTAATCGTGTGGTATAGCAACAGAGTGGAGTGCTATGCAGCTCATAAACCAACCAGGTGGTACTACGTATACAAATATAGGAGAATAAGAAAAGCCCAAGTCGTAGCAGCTCTATGAAAAAAAATAATGGGCAGAACAGTATTTAAAAAGAAAAAACAATAAAGGATATACAGACATGTTTATATATGCACAGAACATCTGGAAGGCTACACACAAAAAAAGTAACTTACTGCTTCTAAGGAGAAGATTGGGTAGTGGGGAATGGAAAGGAAAAATTACTTTTCACCAAATATCCTTTCTAACCTTTTGAATTTTTGTACCACGTGCATGTATTACCTATTCAAAACATAAAAGGTTTAATGCCCACTCTTAAGAACTCACTGTAAAGTTGGAAAGAAGACACAGAAACAAAAAATAAGAATAAAATGTGATATAACATTACTGTACATTAAGGTACAACAATGCAGAGGAGGGCATGATTAAATCTGCTGTACAGATTGTCAAGAGCAGAATTTGTCACAAAGAATATGTTTTTCCATAAAAATAAGCTACAAATGGTACTTACATCCTCAGATGAACTCATCCTAAAAATGTCCTTAACTGACACACCACAGTAAAGTAAGACTGTCAGACTCCAAAACTCCACAAACATCTTACCCTGTTATTGTTGACTCTGTATACAGCAGAGCTGTCAGTAATGGAAGTCTGAGTGTCTCTGTAAAGGCCTGTTAACAACTGTAAAAAAAACAAGATGGGAGATATTCAACATTTTAATAGCAAACCGAAATTGAGTTATATTATTCTAAGTCTCCCAGGTGTAAGGTTAAGTAAATGAATGCTGCTTGCAATAGGTGAAAAAGACCATATTAATATTTTTTACCTGTAGAAAAAAAAAAAATCTAATTAATTGCAAATTTTACTCCTTAATGGAATAAAAACAACATTATTCTCAAAAGAGAGTTAGTGGCCAAATTTCCCAATCTTCTGTAAAGATTTTTAACCATCAGAAATGATTTGAAGCCTGGGCAACATGGCAAAATCTCCTCTCTACAAAAAATATAAAAAATTAGACGGGCTGAGTGTCGCACGCCTGTAGTCCCAACTACTCGGAGGCTGAGGTGGGAGAATGATCTGAGTCCCAGAAGTCAAGGCTGCAATGAGTGGAGATCTCGCCACTGTACTCCAGCCTGGGCACTGGAGCGAGACCCTGCCTCAAAAAAAAAAAAACAAAAAAAAAGATTTGAGCTATTTCTTGAATGGAAGGGAAATAATTTATACTCTCAGAAAGAAAAGTTAAAAAAGCAGAAAACCTCTCCTATTCACCATGTTAAAACACTGTTAAAAATACTAAATGTATTAAAAATAAATATTAGTAAAAAGAAGCTAACTAGCCCACTATGTCAAAGAAGGATCATCCTGTGAAAAAGTGTCTTTGATAAACTCTCATAAGAATTTGTTAACCAAGGAATGATAAACTGTAGACCACTGGCTTCTGTGCCTTCTGCTATTCTGGAATGAAACTAATTAAATAAAACCCTTAAATGTGATAAAGACTAAATACCAGCATCTGGCAAGGGCAAAAAAAAAGAAAAGAAAAGAAAAAAGAGGAAAAATGATCAATATTTCTCAATTATGGGTTTCTAAGAGTCTTTCTGTTCTCCCAAGTGAGTCAAGTAAATTTGGTAACTCTCAAATTTACCAGCATCAGCTTCTTTTACAAAATAAACCATGAGATGACAGGAATTCTGGGATGCTATACAATTTTCCATTAAGCTTAACAGGGGTGTAAATGAAATCATTTACCCTGACAAAGAGCAACGTTTTCCCGGAGTCACAAAGGCCAACAAGAAGAACAGCTCTCTGACTGCTCCTTCTGCTCCGGATTAACTTCCAGAAGACTGTGGAATAGACAGAAAAACAACAGAAATTACGCCTTGGCAATCAGTATATGTGCATGGCTGGGGTGGGGAAATTCACAGAAGTCTGTGATGAAACACTTCATTCACCTAGAACTGACTTTTATCATAATGGTTACTATTGCTGCTGTTAGGGGCCCACTGAGCCGGGCAGTGTCAACTGTCAACTTTTCTTTGCACTCCTTCCTCTGACTGGGGGCTCAAGTGCGATCTCACTACCTTGGTATCCCAGCGCCCGCATGCAAACACCGGAGGCTGAAAGTTGCAGTCAAGACCCTGAATCCTTGCAGTGAGAACAGCGGAAGGCGGGGAACAGCGCACTCAAGCATAACAGGGAAGATGACGAAGAGCAATCCGCGCCCCAAAGACCAGGACGTAACTCCGTGGGTCGCCCGGGATCTCCCTTAACGCCCCGCTGCTGCCGCTGCTTCAGGCGAGAGGGTGGGGTGTAGACTGGGTGGGTCTCACCCTCCTGATGCCCTCAAGGCGCCCTCTCAGCCCGGACCTCTGCCCGCCCCGAACCCGCCATAACCACCGGCCGCCTTTTACCTAGCGTCAGCAGCACCGCAAGAACTGCCACCACTACTGACAACAGCGTTGGGTCCGTTTGCTGCAGCTCCTGCCGCAAGGAGTCTAGGTAGGGCTGGAAGGTGCCCCCAGCACCGCCGCCATCTGCCACCCGGCGCAAGTCCGCGGAAGCCATGGTCTCTGAGACGCGTGGTCTCTGGTACCGCAAAAGCGACGTGGCCCTGCACTCTGCGCAGGCGCAGGGAGCAGAGCCTCACGCGAATGGTGGTTCCTAAGCCTTAGTCTCTCCCTCAGTGGCGGCGATCCCCAAGTGCCTGATGGGAGTTGTAGTTCTCTGGTACTCGGTCCTCCTACAGAACGATAGGGGCAGACAGGTCGAGGGACATACACATCTTTTAAAATACGAGTCAGTCGTCGTCACGTACGTTATGGCTGTTGAAAGAATGATAAAATCAATAAAATGAATGAATGGCTCCCGAAACTACCACTGAGGATTTCCCGACCGTCGCTAAGTGACGTGAGACTTGTGAAGAACTCAAGCATCCTACAAACAGTTAATCTGAATTTAATGTGGCAAGGGATGTGCCAGATGGATGCACGGAGCCATGCGGGAATACATAATGGGACGCAGAGTCCATCATGAGTTCAGAGAAAAGCTTCTGGAAATTCGAACTGAGTCCTGAAGAATGAGTTAGCATCTGCGAGTGGTTAAAGGAAAAAGAGGTGCTGTGCAGAAGAAAATGAGTATAAGAAATGATGTGCGTGGGAAAGCTAACTAATTCAGTGCCCCTACACTGTAAATCTAGGGCTGCAAACTCTAATGTCTGCATTAAAGGAAGCAACTAGGAAAATCAACGCCCAGGAGAGCTGGGGTTGTTGAAAACTGCAGAGGTTATTTCTGCTGAAAGTGGGGCCGACCCTATTCAGCCAGGTAGGTGTTGTGGGACCTGGGTGGCCAGTTCTTCCAGTTTTCAAGAGAAGCAATAAAGGCAGGTTTTTATAGGAAGTTTTCCACTTTTGAAATTTTGGTAGGTAAATGAAAGCATTCAAAAACTTGTGGCCCGAATAAAACACCAAAAGTGGCCAACCTCGAGGGTCCCAGTTCAGTCTCTGTCATTAAACAGGTGTCATTGTTTTAAAATGTACACATGATTTAATTTAATTGTATGACTGAGTAGAGACATGAAGATGTCCGTGTCACTGAAAGATTGAAAAAAGTTACTACAGTTCCACATTGCCATTGAAAAAGTTGTCAGAATCAAAATGGAGTCACTTTATTTATTTATTTATGTATTTAAATCAGAAAAATGGAGCTGGTGAAAGGCCATGGAGGGAGGGTTCTCATGCACCAATGCCTGATGACAAAAACTGTCACAAAAGACTGCAAAAACCACAACCTTGCACAAAGGCCATTGCAACCTTACACACAAAAAATATGTCTGTGAGGACAGCTACCCAGCAACTGCCTGTCCAGCCTACTACTGATGCCATCCTTGCTGTTTGATCTTTGTAGCCGAGGATAATTATCTCGAAACAGTTATGGAATCTGACTCTTTTTTTCTTTAAAAATCTTTGTCTTCCTTTACACCTCCCTGAATGTGCACATAGTTGAAATGGCATACATATTCCCATTGCAATGCCTATTCGTGAATAAACATTATTTTCTTTTAGAGCCTCCCTCTCTGCTTGTCATTTAGCTTGATAACACTCGGGGCCACACAAAACCTCAACGTGCACAGGGACAAGGAAAAAGAGAGGAACTGGCGTTGGACCTGGTGACTCACAGCTATTAATCCCAGCACTTTGGGAGGCCAAGGCAGGAGGATTACTTGAGGCCAAGAATTGAAGACCAGCCTGGGCAACATGGTGAGACCCTGTCTCTGCAAAAAAAACATTTTTTTAATTAAAAAATAATTAGCCAGGCATGGTGGCATATGCCTGCAGTCCCAGCTACTTGGGAGACTGAGGCAGGAGCATTTGAGCTCAGGAATTCCAGGTTACCGTGAGCTGTGATCACATGCCACTACACTCCAGCCTGGGCAACAGAGCTAGACCCTGCCTTCAAAAAAGAAAAAAAGAGAGGAACTGGGACTCTGCCTTTATTACTAATGAGTCAGCAAGTAGCTAGATAGAGACATTTTTGATTGGGCAAGAAGTGAAACACAGATGTTAAGGGTTGTGTTAGGAAGCTTTGGAATATGATTTAGGCACACCCTCAAAAGCCAGGCCACAGGGGAAATGTAAACAATGTTGGCTGTTAGTTTGGCCTGGTGATGAATGGATGCCAAATCATCAATTATAAAATCTATAAAAATTGATTAGAGCAGTCATTTAAATAGGAGTGACAGGAGATGAAGCTAGAAAGATTGGCAGGAATCAGACCAGAAGGGATTTTGTATGCTATGTTGAGGATCTTAGAGTTTATCCAGAATGCAGTAAGAAGTTTCATTTGGGGTGACATAGATAATTGGCAGATCTATGGAGAACTAACACTTGAGAGAGAAAAGAAAACAAACGTCAGGCAGAGAGACCAGCTGAGAGCATTTAGGTAAAAGATGCAGTATTTAGGCAAAGGATGCTCAGAATCTAATACAGAGACAGAAATAGGCATGAAAATGAGGGCACAAATTTGAGAGATGTCTGAGAGTTAAAATACATGGGATGTGATTAGTTGGATATTGTGAATTAAGTAAAAGGAATGTTATCAAGGCTGCATCCTAGGTGGTGGGTGTGGGTGACTAGGAAGATGAGAAAGCCATTAAATGAATTAGGGACCTCAACAGGAGGGGGCTTGGGGCTGTGGATCCAATGTAAGAGGAGCCAGAATGAAAACTGTCTCTTTTCTATATGTTGCGTTTCAGGTGCTTCTGGGAAATCTAAAAACTTATGTCAAGCAAGTGATGAGTAAATGTAAAGTTCCACAAGTATACACTAGATTTTCATTTGGGAGTCAGGAATAAATAAGTGGTCATTAAAATCATGGAGAGCATGAAGAATGAGGAAAGGAACACACAAAAAAGCCTAGGAAGGAAGAGTCATTGGCACAGGAGTGAAACAGACATGTCCTATAAGTAGTCAGTAGCATCTTCTGTAGCAGAGAGACTCCTTTGACGAGGCTTTCAATGAGTCTGAGCTCAAGGGGATAAGCAAGAGATGGGGGAGTGTGGGGATGGAAGCAAGACTATGGTGTATGGGGAAGACAGTGGGGCATGAAGATAGTTTCTAATGTTAATGAGCACTTCCTGGTGCCAAGCATCATTCTGAATACTTTCAGTTTTGTTTTTTTCAGGCAGAGTCTCACTCTGTTGCTGAGGCTGGAGTGCAGTGATGATATGGTTCACGCCTGGGATTCCTGGGCTCAAGCGATCCTCCTGCTTCAGCCTCCCAAATGGCTGGGACTACAGGCACGAACACCATGCCCAGGTAGTTTTTTTATTTTTATTTTTGTAGAGACACAGTCTCTCTCTGCTGTTCAGGCTGGTCTTGAGCTCCTGGGCTCAAGCGATCCTCCTGCTTCAGCTCCCAAAGTGGTGGGATTACAGGCATGAGCCACTACGCCCTGCCTAATGTATTAATTTGTTTAATTTTCACACTGACTCATTTTCTAACTTTACAGAGGGGAAACTGGAGCAGGATTGAGATATATAGTAATGAGCAGGCTTGGGACTTCATCCCAGGCAATGGGCTTCTATCTACTTAACTGTATGCTTTAACATAGTAGGATTCATTTTCAAGGCATTTTTATTGATAAAGGTAGGCGATAGGAACTCCAGATCAAGGAAGGATGGTTAAGATGTGAGGCTTAAGTAAGTAAACCAACTACTTTATTTTAAATTACCAATTTCAAAACTATCAGAACTGGCAGCAGTCATGCCACATTCCATTTCTCTTATTTCTTATGGTCCTAACCCCTGCTCTGTATTCACCACCCAAAACACACATACACACACACACCCCTTGTATAATATAACCACTGATTCCTCTTTAGAAAAATCACTGGATATTACCATTAGACCTCCTGACTGGGGACTGAAGATGCAGGGAAGAAGGAAGGGCCAGACACAGAGAGTTCCAACCGTAACTGTCTTAACTCTCTGAGGATATTTGGTCAGAGCTATGTGAATCGAAGAGGGCTGCCATGGTGGTGAAGTTGGGAAAGGAAGAAAGAAGGTTTAAGAAAACAGATTTTTTTTCTTCAGTATGTTTCCTGGGCAGAAGAAATGTGCACAACTCCCACACTCAGAGAGAAGTGAGCACCCCCATTCTCAAGAATGAGCAGGAGGGGTGAGATTAGTTGCTTGCCTGTACTCACCCATCTTCATCAGGAGCTCTGTGGGCACAGATGCAAAGGAAAGACATGCTGCCCACTGGTAAGTTTTTAGTTCTTGATTCCACTAGCAGACGGAGAGTTACAATGAAACCAATATAGTCAGGGAATTTTTCCCTTCTCTTCCATAAACTAAAATGTGCCACTCACCAGACACCTTCTTCCATCTGCTCCCCAAAGCTCCAATGTACAATGGAACATACCTCAGACCTAGGGACACCAATCATAGGATTCCCCTGCTATGGCTTTAAAAAAAATGTTTAGAGGATTTTTAAGAACAGAATTTAACACATGCTTATTACATTAAAACCTCAAGCAATAATGAAAGCCACAGATCACCTCCATTTTTCTACCTATAATATCGGATAAATATTATTTCAGACATTCCTCTGTACATATGTACTAATAAGGCTGTATGGATAAGAGCAGTAAATACAAATGAACACATTATTTTTAAAGAGATTATAGTACGCACCTCTGTATTCCCCATCCCTGAACAGTGTCTGGCTCATGGGAGGCACTGGTCAACTGTTGAATGAATGATCCCAGGCCTACTGTGTCCACTGCCGTGCCCCAGGCTCCTGTCTGACACCCTCCTGGTTCACATCCCTGCCTTAGTGGGTTTGAGGATGTGTCACCCTAGCCTAACAAATTTAATTTATAATTTTAGCTTCTTCGAAAGTGGGATCTGCTGGTAAGAATAATTACATTTGAAGGCCAGGCATGGTGGCTCATGCCTGTAATCCCAGCACTTTGGGAGGCTGAGGTGGGCAGATCACAAGGTCAGGAGATCAAGACCATCCTGGCTAACACAGTGAAACCTCGTCTCTACTAAAAATACAAAAAATTAACCAGGCATGGTGGTGGGCACTTGTAGTCCCAGCTACTTGGGAGGCTGAGGCAGGAGAATGGCATGAACCCAGGAGGCGGAGCTTGCAGTGAGCTGAGATCGTGCCACTGCACTCCAGCCTGGGCAACAAAGTGAGACTGTCTGAAAAAAAAAAAAGAATAATTACATTTGAA